TCAATAAAACTTGTTCTTAATTGAACATATCGTCGTAAAAACTAACTTATACAAATCTCAACACAATAGACAACAACAGCATTTTATCAACTGAAATAGTCTTTTAATCGATTTATTTAAAAAATAAAATAAAATCAACCATTTCTGTTTTTCACTGTTGTCTATTTCTCTCTATGACAAATTTAAAAACGATGACCATCTTTTCCTTTGAAATAAAAAGAATTCATTTGATTTTCATCATTACACAACTTGAAGGTTGCGAGTCCATATTTATTGTGGACCCGAACTCACAGCTTCTTATATGCAATACATCATAGTGTGTTATAATTCTTCATATATTTCAAATATGCAGAAAACGAGAAAAATATAAAATTCTTGATACATACATCTAAAAATAATGATCGATTTGTAACAATATCATCCCATGTTTGTATTGAACTACGTATAACATCTGGTAATTGCCATTGTGATAATAAATCATAATGTACACGTTCAAGAAATAAATCTCATGTTGTTGTATCATTTTTTTTATTTGTTAAATAAAAATTTTCATAAGATTTTAATAATGGTAAATTTTGTTCAATAAATATAAGAAATTGATCAAGTTTATAATAAGGTTGAATTAATTAAATTGTTGTTTTACGACCATATTCACTTAAACGACTTAATGTTGACCAACGTAATAAAAATTGTTCTTTAGCATATTGAATATAATATTTTGCACCTTAAAATAAAACAAATAAATTAATTCATTTATTTATACGAAAAATTCTAATGAATTTTAACGCTAAAACACATCAAAGAAGCTATAACTTCCAGTGGCGTATACAGGATTTTTCGCCTTATGGGCAAACTTCGCTTACGTAGAAAAAAAACTATGGGCAGTATGGGCAAAACTTTTATTGAAGGGCAAAAACTATTTCAATCCAATAAAGTACCAATAACGTGACAATAGCACAAAATGAATGAAATGAGGTTCATTCAACGACTCTATAATATTAAATATGGTTATTTTAATATTACAAGAAGTTTCTTTTAACGAAACAAAAAAATAATAAAACAACATTCTTTTAACAAAAAAAGAAAACATGAAATAATGTTTTTTTCGAAAACAAAATGAAATAAAATGATACTTTTTTTTATAAATTAAATTAATATTATACTCATATTATGAATACAAAAACACGTATGTTTTCATTTACTTTGAATATATTTTTGTACAATATTTATTCCATTGTTTGCACACCAAATTCAAGACGACGAGTATATTTTTGACAATACATTTTTAATACTTCATCTGCATCTATACGAATATCTTGATGTATATAT